GGTGTACGTGCGAGAACGATCAACTCAATATCCACAACTACACCCTACCCTCAACTATTTCAATACTTACCACAAGATTTATTTATAAAGTTAAACTTTTGAATGCGATCGTTGCCTGAATCAGTAACAAATATATTTCCATAGCTATCGAAACTAAGACTAAACGGAAGTGATAATTGATCAGATTGTGATCCTTCACTATTGCAACCAGCTAAACATCGAAAACTATTTAATCCCCATCGAATTATACGATGATTTCCATGATCGACAATAAAGAGATATTTATCATTATCTAATACAATCCCACTTGGACATTTAAGTGAGTTAGTATTATCTAATGATCCATTTCCAACTAATGTTTTTCCATTTAATTTTTTGAATTGAAAAAGTTGAATTCGATCATTACCGCAATCTGCCACATATAAATCAAAATTTATGTCAACAAAGATACCCATAGGACTACGAAGCTGATTTGAAGCAGAGCCATATCCTTCTGTTCCAGCTGCAATTGTTGATGACATTTGATTATTATTTAACCATCTTTTTATAATTATATGTTCATTAAACAACGAACAATATAAAGTATCATTAATATCGATGAAGAGACTGAAGCATGATGAACCAACACTCATAACTTTATTAAAAGTATTTGTATTTAATGTCAATTTATCGACTCGACTATAGTTCCTGCCATTGTCAATATAAATATCACCAATCGTTGTAACGAACATAGAATATGAATCACCGATACTATTACTAGTGGAATTAATTTTAACTGGATTAATACTATTATTAATCCACATTAAAACTACATTCTTCTCTCGATTAAAAGAATAAAATGTGTTATTTTTATTGATAAACAAGACGTTTGGTCGATTACCAACACTTGTATGATTAACAAAAGTAATTCCATGTGGATTCCAATCTGCTGTTGGACAAAACTTTGGTTGATTAAATGAAAATGCTAAAATAAAAAAAAACATTCAATAAAATCAAATGATAAAGTTAATCTCTTATTAGAAAATATATTCATCTTTTGTATAGTTTTAGATAAATCCTTGTATATGTCTAATCTTCTTAGAAATAAACACGAATCATTTGATAAATATTCATTTTTGTAAAAACATCGAAACTCATATGATTAAACTGTGAAATCTTAGGTGTGAGTATGGTGAGTGCGGGTACTATCCTTTTCATTCTTATTCATTAATTTTACCCACATTTTCACTCACACACACACCTACACTTTAAATATACCTAAAAGTGACTATTAATAAATGTTAATGATTACCTGATCTCCGATTGATCATAACCAACAGAACCGTGACGAAAATGTTGAAATTATTCTTTATTATCATCTTGGATAACAGTTTTTATTTAGTAGTGATAAAGAAAAATGAAAATTTTGTATGTAACTAGACGTTTGATGTTTTTGTTCCATAAAAACAAATGTAATTAATTCTTTATTTCTTCATTCTTTATATCTTTTCTCTTTTTTCTTCTTCTTCTCCTCATTATCAACAAATATCATACAGAAAAATAACAAGTTTCTAAAGAAGGTTCTTTATTGATAATTATAATTATTATTGTTGAGATCTAATTGAAAATTCGTAAAATGATTTTATTTTCAATTTTTCAATAATGAAATTTATTTAGAAGAATATTTTGTAAATAAAAGACGTGACAAAAAAAAAGAAATAATTTTGCTGAAAACGTGTGATAATACTCAAACGTGATTAAAGTCAAAATAAAGTATCAATTTCAATGATCAATAAATGATTGACGTCAATAAACATTCTTTATCACGTTCTTTTTATGTTTTCTTTTCTTCCATGAATATAATAAAACCTGCTATAAAACAAGTGATGCTCGTGATAACCATTCATTACGCTCAGCTGAAACAAAAATGTCATAATAGCTTATAGTGAATATAGACGATATCCAGAGAAATTTTATTGTTTGCATCATTTATCATAGATCAAAATTAATAAAAAAAATAATGAACAGAATAACAGACACTTTGTTGAGTAGTGTCGTTGATGCACGTTAAATATGCCCGAATCAACAATTATAAATTCTCTCCGTTTTCACAAAACTCGATGTATTAAATAATCAAATACTGCACGTAGCTTATATTTCCTGATAAACGCTTGCTATATGTAGTCGCTCTGTGTAAAACACGTGTGAGTTTTATTTCAGTGATGATAAAAAAAAACAAGTGTACTTTAAATACAAAACAGCCACATAGACTATTGAAATGTGATATTATGCTTTTGAAAGGGAATGCTTTAAACATTTAATTATTAGAAAAAAAAGAATTATAAATTTTAAAGTTCTTGAGGATATGGATGAGGTGTGGGTGAGTGAGAGCGTGATGAAAGAGTACTCACACCCACACCCTCAAACAATATTTTGCTGAACTGTAATCTTATACAAATACATTGACAAGTAAATAAATAAATAAAAGGTTAAACATGAAAAGCAGATTATTAAAGACAATATATAACATTAATATTTTCAAATTTGTCCCTTTTCATTACTTGATAAGAATTTCTTCCGTTCTTGGTGTAATGTAAAGCTAAAAATTCAACAACAATAAGCATGTATTATAATAGCGATTATACGTACTCGAGTAATTGCATCTATTAATTCATCAATTTTCTTTGGAAAACGTTCAATTGGATTAAAATGTTCTGATCGCATCAATGCATCTCGTTCTTCTTCATTCGTTTGTTTTAAACCTATCCATCGTTGAAATTTGTTTAACATATATGAAAATATTTCTTGCTTATCATTAACACTTTCTCGTGCACGACGAAAACTGTCATTAATAATCGTAATAAACATACTCATACAAACAAAAACAACCAAAATTATATATAAACTAAAACAAAAGGGTCCTAAAAATGGTGCAGCTCCACTTAATTCATGTGCATCAAATTTCATTAATGACATTTCAAATAACATTTGTGATGTTTTTAATAAACTTGAACATTCATCAAGTTGCGAAACAAATAATAAATAAAATAAATAAATAAATGACATAAAAACAATTGAAAACATCATTGCGAATGAAATCAATTCTTTTCCAGCATATTGAAGTGTATGAATAAATAAATTCAGACGTTGATTAAAACGGCAAAGACGAACAAATTTAATTGTACCAAAAAAACAACAAAATCCAAATAAAAATGTTAATATATCATTAATATATGATGCTAATTGTAAATTTATATAAACATATCCATTTGTTTCTTTAAATAATTTTCCAATACGTTTACATTCTTTATAACGCCAAATATATATTCCAACACTTGTCCATGAACAAACTATTATACCAACTTCAATGTATGACCAAAATCGATGAAAATAATTCCATTTTAATTTTGTTAATAATTTAATTTCTATCCACATAAAATATAAAATCATTATCATATAAACAATTATACTGATCAATTGAAACATTGATGTAAATACTAAATTTAAGAGAAAGAAATATTATATTATTATTAATCATCAAAAGAAAATTACCATCAAAATTCATTGGTTCAAAACGAGATGAAAGATAAATTCCACCTGTTGATAAAAATTCCGTAAGAAGGATAACTGATGTAAATAATTGAGCATTTGGATTATATAAACTTAATTCAATAATCACAGCTCGTGTTTGATTATCAATCCATCCTAATGTGTGTAATTGAGATACATTACTTTGAAGATCAGATAGACGACCTCGAAATTCATAAACATAACCACCACCTTCATAATTTCCATAATCACCAACATAAGTGTATGTATCTAAATCTTTACTTGATTGGTATTGAAATGATTGACTAATAGATAAACTATACGTTTCTATAGTTTCATTGAACCATCCTGGTTGATAGGAATGTTTATCTTCATTTGATGAACTATAATCATATTGACATGTTGAAATAATTTCATTTTTAACATGACATAATTGAGATTTAATACGTAATTGTCTTATTGTTGCCCATCCAATTAATCGATTAGACTTATCATTAATATAACCACTCAAATTTCGAGGTGCATCACCATTATACCATTGTTGAGCACGAATATTTTCAACAAAACTATTTTCTAACCAATACCAATATTGATTTATTGTTGTAATCTACAGATATTCATTACAATAAATCAAAATATGTTACAAGAAAACAAACCTGCGTATAATCAGAATCCAAAAAATATTGTCGTAAATGATTAACTTGAAGAAATGAATTCGGATGATGATTCGAATAAGTTACAATACAAAGAAGTGATAGGAAACATGCATAAATAAATATTTCTCGTAGAATTGACCACATATAAATTTCTTTCAAACGTTTATTACGTGCAAAAGTAATTTCACCTTTATTCAAACGATTTGCACGTATTGGTGATCGATATAGAGATAATGAATTAACTTTAATTGAATGAAGATATTCTTCATTATCATTTAAATCAAATTGATCATCATCATCTAAATATTCATTTGCTTCCTTATCATCATTTGATTTATGACAGAAAAAAGCAAAAAATATTGCCAAACATACAATCTTTAATGGTTGTGTCAAAAAAATAGATGAAAAAAATCCACTTAAAATTGATATTAACCATTTTTGAGTTTTTTCATCACCAAATTCAATTCCACGAGCAATTATAAAAAGAATTGAAACACCAACTAATAGAATAGAAAGACCATATGCAATAAATATACACCACCATGGAAATGTTCTTCCTAATTTTTGTTTATTTTCTTTTCTACTGAAAAATAAAAAGATTAAAACAGGTTCTTTTCTATTGTAACTCTACAAACATTTCTAAATGTGGTTTTATTGATTGCAAAGCATGACGTAATGGAGATATTTGTTGTCGACGAGATCTAAGACGTCGAAAGAGCTGAACAAGTAAAAGACTTGGAATCAATGCAAATACTTCAACAATAATACCAATTATTATCTTGAAAATATTATAATGAAATCAAAATAAATAAAAAAGTCATAACATACTTGTTGAGGATTGATGGTAAATGAATCAAATGATAAACTAACGGAGTTTGTTTTTGCTTCATTTGATAAATCATAATACATTATATTTAAAAACATTGAAATAAATAATAAAACAAAACAACATGTACATCGTTGAACACGTGTAAATTTAGCTGATGGTGGACGAGAAAATATTGAAAACCATAGATGACCATCGGATATACTATGATATGTACCTTTGGATAATATATAAGATAACTCACTTTTTTCATTTTCATTTGCAACTGGTAAAACACGTTCAATCTATTTTAAAATAGAAGAATTTTCAATATTATAAAACTAATTTATTTACATTTCCATCTTCTTTTTCAACTGCAAACCAACGTTGAGAAATAAAATGAAATTTCTCCATTGTTTGTAAATCGCGAACAATTAAATATTTCAAAAACCATGATGATGATGAACCTTGTCCACTATTATCATGCCAAATACGAATACAATGCAATAATCCCAAAGATCTAAACAAAATACTCGATTATTTTTCTTCAAATAAAATCTTTTACTTTGGAACAGCCATAATAAATGAATCAATTCCACCACGTTGAAATATCTGTCGATGTGGATCAGCAAATGTACGAACATGTGTTGTATCTGAATCGCCAGACAATACAAAATGAACCTATTTTTAATATAATCCAAAAAACCATACAGTCGTATATCTTTGAAATCTTACTTTTGATTTTGTTCCAGCATATTTTCTTTGACCAGTAAAAACAATAATTTGATAAAAATATTCATCAGATTTATGATTATCAGGTAATGGTGTTACTCCTAATTTTTCAATATCTTTTTTGTCCTTATAACGGGAAAATAATATTAAAATGATATAAATCACACATACACAAATAATTGTTAAATAAATTGTTTTGTTTCTCATAAAATCAGCATTAGCAAAAACATAATTCCAATTAATCGGTTCAGGTAAAACACGA